AAATAGTTTAGATTAGCATTTTTTGAAAACCCACAAAAGTGAGTTTGTAAAAGACAAACCGCAAAATAGCAAGGGACTACTGTATTCAATGTAGACTTATTTGTTTAAACTTTTGTTAAAGGACACACGAAATTTTTGGTGATTAAGAGCAGCATACTTGCTCTGGTTTTTCTCAATGGCCTAGTACTACACAGGAACTATAATATATACAGAATGCCACATTATTGGGTGTCATGGTTTGTGTGTATTTGTGCCTCCCAAAGCCTCATGCAATCAAAGGGCAGACTTTGTGAATGCATGATCCACTGGGATTATGGGTATGAGTACTACTCCCAGCCTGGGTGGATGGCCTGAATGCACCTTGGGACAGACTTGCTCTCTGTTGCCATTGTTGCTGTTACTCCTTCCTCTTGCTCTTGCTGTTTTGCTGCCTTCTGCCACCATGAACTGCTGCCCTCTGCCATGTGCCAGTCTGCCTTGGAGCCAGCCGAGTATGGATTGAAACCTCCAGTAACTGTGAGCTAAATAAATCTTTCCTTCCTTCATTTTGAGTGTTGGGTATTTGTCCCAGCAATGAGAGAAGAGTAACTGAGACAGAATTTGGTACCAGAGGAGTAGGGTCATTGTTGTGACTAAACCTAACCATGTGGATTGCAAGCTTTGGGGAATGGCTATATGAAGAGATAGGAAAGGTTTGCAGATGTCATCTACAAGTGAAGCACTGGAAGAGCCTTGGCTGTTCTGTATGGGAGATTCTGGTCAAAGCACAGAAGACCAGAAGGCTGACAGAAATTCTGCCTGTAAAAACCAGGCTGGGGAGGTTTCTTCTGGGAAGAAGGACTGCAATGGTTGTTGAACTCTGGATGATTTGTGTTTTGGCATGACAGAAAGTTGTCTGAATTTTGCTCATGTCCAGAGACTTTGCCTGAAACTGAGATTAAGCAAGACAGATTGATTAGTCTTTCAAAAGCTATTTCAAAGCAGCCAAATACTGAGACAGTAGAATGGCTGTTGTTTGGGGATTTTAGCCAGATACACGTTGAGAATCAAGAGCAAAGAGCCCAGCAGAATGGTTTAAAATGTGAGTTTGGCCAGAAAGGAAGCTCCAATAAAGCTGTGGAATGCCAAGATAGAGCTGAGAGGATCTCCATTGCCAAGAAGGAACAAGAGAATGGAAAGTATGGCCTGAGGGCATCACAAGAGGCAGCAAGTATCCACCCTTTGCAGCCTGAGAATTTCAAAGGCCAAAGACTTTGCTTGGGGGAAAGTTCACTGAGCCTCATGTTCCAGAATGGTGGCAGCAGCCACACTAGGTTCCAGAATGGTGCCGGCATGGAGAAATTTTTCCTCGTGATCAGGGTCAGAGTGCTCAGCAATCGAGGCACTCGACCCCTATAGCCGAGAGAGGAAAGCCTGGCTACTGTTCCAGCTGGCAGCAGACCCTGGCATCATCTGCATGGCATTGGGTTTAGGTGTATTCAGAATGCAGGAGTTCTGAGGTGAAGAAGGCTTTCATCTAGATTTCAGAAGAAGGCCTGGGAGGCCAGGCAATGTTCCCCTGAGAGGGCAGTGTGTAAAGCTGTACATGAGAAGCCTATTCAGTGGAAACCCCAGAAGTTTGGAAAAGCCAGGAATTGTGGATCATCTAAGAGAAAGTGGTAAAGAGGGAGCAAAGCCAGCCTAAGAGAGAAGCCAAGGGAGCTACCACCAAGAGTGCCACAGGGGCGGAGACACATGGAGCCAACAATTTGCCACAGATTGCTTTAGATGTTCCACATGGAATTACAGGACTTAATGTTGCCCCTTCTGGATTTTGGACTTGCTTTGGTCCCAATGCTTGATATCTTGTTGTGTGTACCTTTTGGAATGGTA